ATCGGATGTGCCTCAGATCCCAGCTAATCCCAAAGCAGGATATTTGTTTTCCGTCTCTGCTGCAGGAGGATAATTTAAACCAGGGAGGATAATTTGAACCAGTGCGGGATGTAATGGGAAACAGGATCCCAGATCCGGGGCTTTAACTCCCTCCTCCTCCATTTTAAGCTCTTTGGGAAATCCCTCTGGTTGTTCTTCTTCGCTCCTGCTTCGGGTCGGGTCCGTCCCGGGCCCTTCCCGGCTCACGTTCCGTTTGGGAACCCCAAAAGGAACAGCTCCAGCCTTCAACCGGGGCTGCTGACCTGGGAAACGTTCCCCAACATGTGCCTTTCCCCTCCCGGTTTTGCCCGGCAGCTCCGGCCCCGCCGGTGGCGGCGGCTCTGAGGTCCCACTTCAACGACTGCCCCGACTCCCACCGGCAGTTCTGCTTCCACGGGACCTGCCGCTTCCTGGTGCAGGAGGACAAGCCAGCGTGTGTGTGAGTGCTGGGCTGGCCCCTGGGGGTCCCCTGGGAACCCCAGCACCTGGGGTTGGGATCTGAGGGGGGTGTCATGGACCCAGGGCTGGTGGCCTCCCCTCCTCATCCCCGGGGGACGCGGATCCCCAGCCCCATCCCTGGGGATGCTCGGGTCCTTCCCCGCCCTCGGGTGGTGCTGGTGGATGTCCCCTCCCCATCTGTGGGGACACTCATGTCCCTCCTCTCCCCACTTTTGGGGACACTCATGTCCTTCCCCATCCCACCCCGGGTGACACCGATGTCCTTCCCCTCCCACTGATGTCCTTCCCTTCCCCATCCCTGCTGACATCGATGTCCTTCCCATCCCTGGTGACACCAATGTCCTTCCCAATCCCCATTCCTGATGCCACTGATATTCTTCCCCATCCCACCCCTGGTGACACCAATGCCCTTCCCCATCCCATCCCTGGTGCTACTGATGTCCTTCCCCTCCCATCCCTGATGCCACTGCTGTCCCTCTCCTCCCCATCCCTGCTGACACCTATGCCCTTCCCATCCCATCCCTGGTGACACCGACGCCCTTCCCCTCCCATCCCTGATGCCACTGCCATCCCTCCCCTGCAACCAATTTCCTTCCCCATCCCTGCTGACACCGATGTCCTTCCCATCCCATCCCTGATGACACTGATTTCCTTCCCCATCCCCATTCCTGATGCCACTGATATTCTTCCCTATCGCAACCCTGGTGACACCAATGCCCTTCCCTTCCCACTGATGTCCTTCCCTTCCCCATCCCTGCTGACACTGATGTCCTGCTCCACCCCATCCCATCCTTGGTGACACCAATGCCCTTCCCCTCCCCATCCCTGATGCCACTGATGTCCTTCCCTGTCTCATCCCATCCTTGGTGACACTGATGTCCTTCCCATCCCATCCTTGGTGACACTGATGCCCTTCCCATCCCATCCCTGGTGACACTGATGTCCTTCCCCACATCCCTGGTGACACCAATGCCCTTCCCCATCCCATCCCTGGTGCTACTGATGTCCTTCCCCTCCCATCCCTGATGCCACTGCTGTCCCTCTCCTCCCCATCCCTGCTGACACCGATGCCCTTCCCATCCCATCCCTGGTGACACTGATGTCCTTCCCCACATCCCTGGTGACACCAATGCCCTTCCCCATCCCATCCCTGGTGCTACTGATGTCCTTCCCCTCCCATCCCTGATGCCACTGCTGTCCCTCTCCTCCCCATCCCTGCTGACACCGATGCCCTTCCCATCCCATCCCTGGTGACACCGACGCCCTTCCCCTCCCATCCCTGATGCCACTGCCATCCCTCCCCTCCCCACCCCTGGTGACCCTGCCCCTCGGTGCCCCCAGGTGCCACCTGGGCTACGTGGGGACGCGCTGTGAGCACGCGGACCTGCTGGCCGTGGTGGCCGCCAACCAGAAGAAACAAACCATCACTGCCCTGGTGCTGGGCTTGGTGGTGGCCTCGGCGCTGCTCGTCGGCCTCTGCCTCCTCATCCAGTGAGTACTGGGGGGGTCCGTGCCTGGGGGGGCTCAGCACCCCCTCCCCACCAGTTTGGGGCAGGATGCGGCCCCAGCAGGGGGTGCTGAGGCCCCTGACCCCCCTCCTGCCC